CTTCAAGTGCACTATTACCTATCTCAAAGTGCTGCTCCTTTCCGAGGTGGTTGTACATTACTTTCGTTTTCTGCAGATTAATTTTAACACCCACCTTTCTGCTCTCCCTGTTCAACTCCGTAATCATGAGTTGCAATTCGTCCCCTGAGTTACTCAGCAATGCAATGTCACCGGCGAAGCGCAGGTTACTAAGGTATTCTCCATTAACTCTTATCCCTAACTGCTCCCATTCTAGGCTTCTGAAAACCTCCTGTAAGCACGCGGTAAATAGCATTGGGAAGATAGTGTCCCCCTGCCTTACACCCTTCTTGATTGTTATTCTCTTGCTTTCTTTATGAAGCACTATGGTAGCAGTTGATCCCCTGTAGATTTCTTCCAGAATGTTTATATATACTTCATCTACGCCCTGATTCCGCAGTGTCTGCATGACGGCTGATATTTCTACTGAATCAAACGCCTTCTCGTAATCTATGAAGGCTATGTATAGTGGTTGGTTATGCTCTGAGGATTTCTCTATTACCTGGTTGGTAGTATGAATGTGGTCAATTGTTGAGTAGCCTGTTCGAAATCCTGCTTGTTCCTTTGGTTGATTGAATTCTAATGTTTTCTTTACTCTGTTAGCAATTACCTTTGTAAATAGCTTGTATACTACAGAGAGCAAGCTGATCGACCTGTAATTGTTCAAGTCCTTGTCATCTCCTTTCTTATGTATTAAGATGATGTTAGCGTTCTTCCAAGACTCTGGTACTCTTCTCGTCAGGAGACACCTCGTGAACAGTGTGGCTAGTTTTTCTACACAATCTGTCCTCCATCTTTCAGCAGACCTGATGTTACCTGATCCTCACCAGCAGCTTTGCCTCTTTGCATGCTCTCCAAAGCTTTTCTGACTTCTATCATTACTGGTGGGGTGTCATCTGGGTTACTGCTAGTTCTTATAGTATTAAGGTCGTGGATGTCTGCGCTACTGTACAGATCTCTGTAAAACTCTTCCGCTATTTTAACTATCCTATCCATATTGGTAGTTATTTTGCCTTCTTTGTCCCTTAGTGCATACATCCGATTTTTGCCTATCCCAAGTTTCCTCGTTTCCTCTTCACTGCTTTGACGCTTCCTCCGTTTTTCAGAGCGTGTTCAATTCTCTCCACTGTTATACCTTCTTACATCGCATACCTTACGTCTATTAATCAAGTTCGAAAGCTCTGCCAGTTCTATTTTGTCTGTTGTACTTGACACTTTCTCGATTTGACGCTTCTTAATTAGGTTCTTCGTTTCCTGGGAAAGCTTGCCAGTGTCCTGTCTAACTACCCTGCCTCCAACTTCCACAGCACACTCCGTAATAATACTCGTCAGATTATCATTCATTGTATCTACGCTAAGGTTGGTTTCCTCACTAAGAGCCGAGTACCTGTTCGGCAGCGACACTCTGAATTCCTGTACTTTCCCTCTCAGTGCTAGCTCATTGATTGGCTTCTTGCGTATCAGTTTCTGTCGTTCTTTCTTCAAGTCTAGGCGAATTCGAGACCGTACCATTCTATGGTCACTGCATCGTACCTTGCCAACCACTTCCACATCCTGCACGATTCCTGGGTGTACATTCATTATAAAGTCTACTTTCGTTCTTATTTTCGCCATTAGGGCTCCTCCATGTCCACTTGCGGTTTTTTCGTTTTCGGTAGAAGGTATTCAAAATCCGTCAATTATTGCGTTCTGCGAATTCTACTAGTAGCTCTCCTCTGGCGTTTCTAGTACCGATGCCATAATCTCCTACTGCCTGGTCTCCAGCCTGCTTCTTCCCTACCTTTGCATTAAAGTCGCCCATCACTATAGTATACTGTGTTTTTACCTTATTCATTGCCGATTCCACGTCTTCATAGAAGCTTTCAACTGAAGCGTCATCATGGCTGGATGTAGGCGCGTAAGCCTGTACTACCTTCATCTTGTATCTTTTATTCAGTTTAATTACAATACCTACCACCCTTTCATTAATGCTATAGTATTCCTCTATATTGCCAGCTATGTTTCTGTGAATTAGGAACCCCACTCCCAGTTCTCTTCTGTCTGCCAAGCCCCGATAGCAAAGGACGTGCCCATTCTGTATCACCGTATAGGCCTCATCTGTCCTCCTAACCTCACTGAGCCCTATTATATCCCATTTAACACCCTCTAGCTCCTCGAATAGTACAGCTAGACTTCCCTCACTAGATAAGGTTCTAGCGTTAAACGTTGTCAAGTTCAGGTTCCAATGGCGGCCTGTCCGGATCCAGAGATTCTTAGCACCCTCTGCTGCGTTGCAGATCTGACCGCCGCCGTGGTCAGTTGCTTCGCAGCTGCTGGGGACTGAGGGCCGTGAGTTATTTGACGTAAGCATGTGGGAGGTAGTAGCCAGATACTGCACCAGGGTGGCCAATCCTTCTCTGGTGAGGGAGTGCGTTCCCGGCGGTGGTTACCGGTGAGGCCGCACCCCAGGCCTCTTAATGTAACTTGGATGCACATTATATTTCTTTTATTTTTATTAGCTTTTTTGTGAATATCTCCGACAAAAATGTGCTTAACAAATTGCATCTAATTGTAGCCAAATAGCAGTTTTACAGCCACTAGCCCAGTTTTGTCACATTTGACAAATTATAACTTGATAACAACTGCTATAACTTCTTATAGCTTGTTAGCAAATGCAATACAGCAGGCAATGTTCTTGACTTATATCAAACAGAATTTCTTAAAAAATTAATAATGGCCTTTTTGGGAAAGCTTTCAAACCACAGCATTTTGGTAAATCACGTTCCCCCCAATTTCGATATAATAACAGTCTGCGTTTTGTCATGACCACTTCTCACTAAAAAATTACCCGTTTCTGTTGGAATACACATATTTACCAGCCCACCAAAAAATTGCAATTTCACAGGTTCCCTCATTTTAGGTGCATTACAGAGGATTGAAGAATGCAGTGCTAGAAGTTGTTCTAAACACTAAGTACTCGGACATACCTGGGGCACACCTGGCTTCCCTTGGCGAATCCCACAGCGGAGGTGGAGAGTTCCTCCTCACGTGCAATTCAGGCTCACTTTCAAATGAAGAAGACCGTGCTTTAATTTTTCTGTACCGTATTCTAAAACCACCTACTGCCTCGCCAACAATCGAGATAAACGCAAGAGTCCGCGTGTTCATCGCGTAATGCATCGCCGCGACCCTCTGTCTCTCAAACGACAGCAGTTGCTCACAGCAACCTACAGTTAAGTGGCCTGTAGGAATACCTTAGGGGCGAGGTTGCGATCGGTGAACTATTTCAATATGTCGCGATGTGCCACACTCGAGTAATTAATGGTACAACGGTGGGCAAATAGAAAGAATCCTAGACCTGGAGCCCAAGTTCAGACAACGAACCTCTGTGTGTGTCAGGACACTGGAGAACACGGGCCCCTTAGCCAAAGTTTTGACGCAGAAGCTGAAGCTTTTTTTGCTTGGTCCTCTCTCCGTTGTTCCAAAGTTTTCATATTTTATGAACACTCACGTTTTCATAAAGCTGGAATCAACAAACATGTCCATCATTCATTTTTGTTTTACATCGACCTCAATCTAAAACCTACCGTCAGGCACTGTTCCTTTTTGTGTCTGGCATTTGTAAATAGAATTCTACTAGAGCAATAAACGAAGGCGTAATAGCCAAGAAATGTGGAAGCGTTGTACTAGTCACACTTAGTTAGGTTATTGGTCTGGAAGGAAAACCAGCCCGTGTAAATCTGCGTTCTATATCCTGCGGACTAGAGGAAGCAACGAAAGCGGGCATTCGTCAAGAGACGCGCCACTTCCGAGCAGTTTTAAGATGTGCGCCCGGGTCATGATGTGGTGGCCGATTGCAGCGCTGTACAGATTAAAAACTAAACGATAAAATCAGCTGCTTGCGTGAACACATAGATAGTGGACGTAAGAATCGTGTAACAAAACAAAAAGAGCAAAACAAGCTCGCTGTCAATTTTCTTGCTGCTTCAGCGAAAGCAAAAAAAAGCATACAAAACACTCATCAACTCTTCACATACATCATGCATGGCACTCTTCCCAAACAAAATACATTAAAAGAAAGCGCATTTTGAACCAAGCCCCACTGCGCCCGCTCTGGGCGGTATCGGCAGCAGTCACTAGCTCAGACAAGGCAGCAAAATGACCTTTGAAGAGGTCGCAGATGTACCGTTCCATTAAATGCTATGTTACTTATTACTTACTTCTCCTAAACACGTTCTATCTCCGGACATTTCGCTCTATCTACCACTTGTGTTTAACTTTTCCAGTACTAATGCGAAGACGCAATCAGAAAACGCAGTTCTTGTATTTCTGCGCACCGTAGTGCAAGGTAAAATAGATCTGAAAAAGATATCTACATTGTTAATCTGTAGCATTCATGGTAAAAAGCTCCTGAGCGCATTTATTGATATACGACTGCGTTATACCAAGTTTCATTTCATCCCTACGTTTTTAACCATGTCAGTGACTATGCTGTCACTATAGTTCAGACCGACACAAGACTCGCGCGACTGCTGCTACGTTCGTACGAGCCTCGCTTCAGGTAACATTTTATATAAAAGTTTGATCTGGTCAAACAAAACGTCAGCTCCAAGCAGCAAACGCACCCGAAACAACGCGTGCCTTTTCTTCTTCTTCTTCTATCAGTTCTGCGTCATGCAACAGGTGGAGCAGCTGCGACTTAACCATAGTAATGATTAAAGGGTCTCACGTGCTACCTACACGTTAAGCAACTGTTGTTGCGATGCCAAACTCAAGAGTAAAGTTGTCTCCTGCAGTTGGCGGAGAGTGCCCGACGTCAATAAACTCCGCAACACACACGACAACACAAGAACCATAGCTGAATGCCTGCAAAATCGTGTCGTCACTCCCTTCGTAACAGACCATAAAGCATTGGCCAGGTGCATCATCTAACAACTTATCCTCTTTCAGGAGGAAATCAATCCTCGACCGTGGCATTCTAGCCTGTCGGGGAGGGCCAGTCCTTTGAGCAATCCACACATTTTTTTTATTTGAACTGCCCCAAATCTGTTATGGCACCGATGATCTTTCGGTACACCCCGAGACAGATGCCAGTACTCGGCACAAGAGTCCTCAAAGAGACAGTATGAATTAGTTCCTGTCATAGTAAGTAGCCATGGATATCTTCGAGCACCGCCTCCGACATGGAGGGCTGCAGAAGCTGTCGGGTGACGTGGGTGCTGTAAGGGAGGCTTTAGGGAGGGTGGAGGTGCCATTGGCATCACCGCAATCACCCTTGTCAAGTCGCGAACGGTAGTGATTGACGATGAACTCCATCTTCTTCAGGATCTTGTCGTCAGAATCAAGGTCTTTTTCGCGCAGCAGCTCCTGCAGTAGGGGCGATATCACGTTGGGCCGCTGAGATTTGGTCGGGCTCGAGTGGACCGCGCTTCTCTTGGAGCCGGGTTCGGTGAAGAGGTCCGGCGTCAAGGCCGGTCTGGAAGAACCGCGCTGCCGGAAGGCCCACGTCTTGTTGCCGTCAGAGTTAGACCGCGGCGAGGTCCGGACTGGGGGCGGACTCCTCCACGAGCAGCGACCCGGGACGCCTCGCGTGAGGAACGCCTTGTCGGAAGTCATGCTCCCTTCACTGCTGTGAGACCTCGATCGGGGTAGAGTGGCCAGTCCGGCGTCCACGGAACGACGCCTTGCGTTGGGGTTAGGCGGAGTAGACGACTGTCGGACTCTGCCGTTGGTCATCGCCTGCTGCTTGGCCATCTGTTGCTGCTGATGATGTTGAGGAATTAACGACGTCGTTCCGTTTGTGGTCAGATTCTCCGAGCTCGTGGCCCTGGTAGGGTGCGGCGAGGTAGGGAATCATAGACTTGGCAGATGGTGGCGGAGGAGTCTGCCTGGACCCTACACCAGATATCGAATGTCTCGGAGAGGATGCCGTTCCGTTCGTCTTGGCGGGAGAGGCGGAGGGCGAAGCGGACGATGCGTAGCTCTCGTCGGCCGACGCGGCGCTGCTGTCGATGACGATGACGTCGTGTGAACGTCCTCCCGCCGGGTCGGGTCGTTCTGGCGGCGCCATCTTCCACGGGGAGGTGCCGTTGGTGCTTCCGAATTCGCCCGGCTGTGGTGTGATGTTGCCTGTCTTGGAGATCTTTCGCGGCGAGCACTTCCGCGACCCTCCAGGTGTCTTGGCGAACTCGCCTTCGGATGTCTCGCTACTGCTGTCGGCGGGCACTCCGCAACCACCGCTGCTCGAGCTGGTCGAGTCGTCGCTGCAGTGCGATATTCTTGACGGTGTCAGGTCTCGGTCGTGGTCGCCGGTCAGCGAGTTGTTGTGCAGCAGGCCTCTGTGTGACATCAGTGGCGACGTGCTGCCGTAAGAGTAGTTTGCTGCGGGAGGTCTATTGTATGTGACCTGAAAAAAGTACCTTGTCTCAATTAATTCGTGGTTGACATATCACCTAATAGAAAGTCTGCGGAAAAAGGTTAATTTATACAAAAAGACGAAAAAGTCCCCTTTCATTGTCAATCTTCAAAAGCTTTATAAAGAATACTCAAGCACATTAGCTATGTTACTTAAGTCCACTAAAGTAAAATACTACGAAGATAAAATAAAGCGAGCCAGAAATGACGTTAGGAAGCAGTGAAAAGCTGTAAAATATGTGCTTGGCAGGACCATGGTACATTCAGACATAACCTTAATTCACACAGAAAATCGTGTGATCGAAAACTCATCTAATATTGTGAACTCTTTCAATGACTCATTCGGCATTGATATTCCTCAGTCGACAGCATCCCTCGAATATACTTCCTCACGATTACTACATTCATTTTTTCTTTATCCAATGTCACCTGAAGAAGTGTTCAGCGTTACCAATGGTATTGGAATACAAGCGCTGGTCGCGATAAGTTTTCTGCTGCTGACATAAAACTGATAGCTCATTTGATCTGTGATATATAATATTACAATATAAATCTTGTATTTCAGACTGTGGTTTTTCCAACAGCCCTGAAAAAGCAAAAACTATTCCCGTCTTTAGAATAGGCGACAAGCGTTTATTCTCGAACTACCGACCCATATCAATTATCTCGATTTTCAGTAAAGTCATCGAAAAGCTTTTATGAAGTTATTTAGACAAGTTTCACATTCTTTCTAATAAGCAGTTTGGTTTTATTCCCGGTTAGTCAACTGAACTTGCCATGATATCTCTAACCGATCAAACTAAATCTGCTATTGACAACTGTTGTGTTGGTGATGTCTTTCATGACCTTTAAAAGCACTTGACGCTATTTCTCACGTCATTTTATTTCATAAATTACAGTCTATTGGAGTATCTGGCATCCCACTAATATTGAGTTGTAGCTATCTGCGTGATCGTAAACATTTTGTATATATATCTCCGGTACCTTATTCAGCCCTAAATTCATCAACATCGATGTTCCGCAGGGTTCGATTTTGGGCCCACTTTTATTGTTAATTTACATCAATGATCTTCCTCATTGCCTCGCTCATTCGTCCTGCATTCTCTATGCGGACGACACCACTGTATTAACGGCACATGAAGAGGTAGACTAAATCCTGTTGAAATTAAACACTGACCTGGAAAACATCTTAGGACGGTTCAATAGTAATAAACTAAAAATAAATCCTAAGAAGTCAAAATTTGTGGCATTTTTGTCAACAAATCGAATTATACCTAGAAACCTCTCTGTCTACGTAAGCGACTACCAAATCCGCTCTACTTTTAGTACAATGTTTCTCGTGGTCAAAGTTGACGAGCATTTAAAATTTAATTCCCATGTGCTACATCTTACGCGGAAAGCCGCATATGCCATTCAAATCTTGCTAAAAGTTCGCCTTTTTAGTTTTGAAATATTGTTGTCACTGTAAGACGCTTTCTTTCCAGCGATATAATCTTTTGGATTTCAACATGACAAGCACGTATGCCACTCATTTATCACCCATCTAACATCTTCAAAACCAAGCATTGAGAATAATAACGTTCAGTGGCTTAATGTGCAATGCATCATCTTTGCTTGTTCACATAACATTTTATCAGTTCAGAAGCTGGCCAAGTATTTTCTCGGCATTCTTATCTACAAATATGCCAATGAAAAACTTCCCATTCCTTTACTACACTCAAATAAATCTCCTCAGGTGTGATATACTCGTTTTGCAAAGGCTAACTACTTCCTTTTACCCAAGCCCAGGACCAATTATGCAAATATACCGTAAATAATTTGTCTGTATTCTTGTTGAAAACTTTACCTTTGGAGATAAAAAGTGGATCTCTTGTAATGTTTCAAAACAGCTTGCATTCGCTCTTACTAAATTCATAATGCTTATAATATACAAAGTATGTTATTAGACTTTTTGTTCTTTTAAGCTTATCTGCATTTTTGTATGCATCGTGCGTATTTGTATGTTACATATATCAATTTATTTTCCTTAGCGTCATGATGCTTGCTTTTACAATGAGCGAATGTTATTCCATTTCTTGTTAGTTTTTTGTGCTTATCTGCGAATTTCGTACTCTTTTCTTGCTATATTGTACCTATTTGTACATTTATGCGCTCTAATATTTGTATCCCCACCACTATTTACTATTGCGTTCTAACTTTTATGAGTGATTTTTTAAGAGGTCTCACTCACAGCTTTGCAACTTTATGTCTTCCTTCTGTATTTATAATCAACACATGCAATGTATGACTTTTAATTTATATTTTGATAAAATAAAAAGATCAAGTTTACTGCATCAAAATTTAACTTTATATATATATATATATATATATATATATATATATATATATATATATTGAAATAGAGGTGTTATACGTCGAAAAAGGTACAGACGCAGCTTGGCAGAATATGCTTTATCAGGCAGGTCTAGCTAATGGCGAGCGGCGTGCGCGAGCTACTACTGCAGCCACCGATCATCGTCGTCTTCTTCATTGCCAGCAGAGCGTCCGTTATTCAGATTCATTAATTCAATACAATTACTCTACGCGAAATAAGGAGCCATCCTGGCGACCTATGGACAAGTAAACACGGGAGGGTCGTAGCAGGGCTTAAGTCTCGAGACGTGGACAATTTCCTGGCCACGATGACGTTGGTCAGAAGATGGTTCCAGTGGCTCAATGAGGTAATTCACTGGTGACGTTTTTTGTAGCACACGATATGGGCCGTGATACTTGGGGACCAACTTGGTAGAAAGGCCAGGCGTAGCAGAAGGGACATGCAGCCAGACGAGTGAACCTGGATCGTAGGAAGTAGTGTTACTTGATGCGTCATGGTGGTGCTTTTGGCGTCCTTGGTCTTGGGTTGTGAATGATCTTGCCAGTTGGCGGCATTCTTCAGCGTATGTAGCGGCTTGAGACAAAGTCGTGGACTCTGAGGAGTCAGGTTTGTACGAAAGAATGGTGTTCATAGTGCAAGAAGGTTTACGTCCGTAAAGGAGGAAAAAAATTCCGCCATATCCACGAAGTGAATGATGATGAGTGGGCGAAGCTCTGGAGGTAAACCTGGTAAACCATGAATCCTCTGTACATTTTGCCCACTCGATTTTATTACATCGCTCCCCCTAGCGTACGTCGCCGCACTAAATCGAACGATTGCCTTCAACCAATGACACGCGCCATATGTGACATCATTCCTATTTTATAAGATCTCGCGTCTTTCATGCTCTACAAGTACTGCTTTCTAGTTTATAACATCTTGCATCTTTTCATCACCAGCTACAAGTACCACCATCTAGTAAACAGTACAAGAACTAAACGAGAGGTGGCTACATACAGGAGACGGTACCGCCATCTAGTGAACACTGCAAGAACTAAACTAGAGGTGGCTACATACAGGGGATGGTACCACCATCTAGTGAACACTGCAAGAACTAAACTAGAGGTGGCTACATACAGGCTACAGGGGACGCACAGCCCACGCCCTAAGGAGCTTCGCCTCTAAAAGGAGAGAACCCAGTAGTGCTTTGAATGGCGGTATTATAGGCGAACGTGATAAACGGGAGCACTCGGTCCCAATTGAAGTGGTCTGATGAGATATACATAGACAGCATGTCACCAAGGGTGCGGTTGAAGCGCTCTGTCATTCCATTGGTCTGGGGATGATAGGCGCTTGTAGTGCGGTGAGCGACGTGGCACTCACGCAGCAATGCTGTGATGACGTCTGACAAGAATACGCGACCACGATCGCTCAGTAACTCCCGAGGTGCTCCATGACGTAATACGATGTTGTGAAGTACGAAAGTCGCAACGTCTTTTGCTGTAGACGAGGGAAGGGATGAAGTTTCGGCATACCGCGTGAGATGGTCGACGGCAACTATGATCCAGCGGTTACCGTCAGCAGTGTTGGGAAGGGGACCATAGATATCGATGCCGACGTGGTCGAATGGTCGGGATGGGCATGGTAAGGGTAACAAGGTACCGCTGGCGTGATAAGGGGGAGTTTTTCGTCTCTGGCATGTCGAGCAGGCCCGAAGGTATTGTCGTATAAAACGGTACATGCCACGCCAGTAATATCGGAGACGTATGAGAGAATAAGTCTTCAGGAAACCTGCGTGCCCACATTGGGGGTCGTCATGAAACGTGGAACAAATTTCGGATCGCAGATGACGTGGAATCACGAGTAGCCACTGACGTCCACCGGGTGCGTAGTTGCGTCGGTACAGCACATCGTCGCGAGTGGCGAAGTGCTCGACTTGCCGACGCAATGAGCGAGAAGGGGGGGAAGCCGTCCGCCCAGCCAGGATGTCTACAATCGAAGCAACCCAGGGGTCCTTGCGTTGCTCAGAGGGCATGTCGGCGATGGTGATGGCAGTGGCATCACAGGTTAGCCTTTCGCAGCAGTCCGGGTCAGGGGGTAGGGGCGAACGGGATAGGGCGTCTGCGTCCGAATGTTTCCGGCCGGAGCGATAGACCACGCGAATATTATATTCTTGGAGGCGTAATGCCCATCGGGCGAGGCGACCGCTTGGATCCTTCAGTGACGGCAACCAGCAGAGGGCGTGGTGGTCAGTCACGACGTCAAAAGGGCGTCCGTACAAGTAAGGACTAAATTTCTCTATCGCCAGAATAATGGCCAGGCATTCCTTTTCAGTGACGGAATAGTTGATTTCGGCTTTGCTAAGAGTTCGGCTTGCGTAGGCAACGACGTACTCTTGGAAGCCGTCTTTCTTCTGTGCAAGAATAGCGCCTAGCCCGACACCACAAGCGTCGGTGTGGATCTCTGTGCGTGCCGATGGGTCGTAGTGTCGCAGAATAGGCGGCGACGTGAGGAGGCGGCGCAGTTCATTGAAAAAATTGTCACAGGTAGCAGACCAGGCTGAAAGGTCTCTAGCGCCGGCGAGGAGCTTGGTCAAAGGAGCGATGATCGTCGCGAATTGCCAACGAAGCGCCGGAAGT